AAGCTTAACTGAATTCGACTTGCCTATGGAGTCATGACCTTCCCCTTCGGAACGAAGGCCAAGCTCAAACCAACTCGGGAGTTCCTTGTTGGGTGGGTGAGATCCCTGTCCCCTTCGGAACGACAGTTCTTAGATCCCCATGTACACGTTTTTACCTGAACAGCCATTGGACCCAGCAGGTACCACATGGCTCTAACTTACTATACTTACGGCATACCTTGCCACTAATCCATTCAGGTTATTTCCTAGAGTTCTTCTGGGTGATATATCCCATAATCATCAATCAATACAGAATACAACATTCATAAATCCACAATGCATTTAACAAGATATCCAACATAATCAAATAGTGGCCTAACACTGGATGTAAACACCCATGTTTACCGTCATGCAACACACGAAGTCCCGGAATCAATCCTTGACGAACACAGATCGACAGACCCGGCACCAGGTACCAGACGGTACCTATCACGGTACGGGGTACCGTCCTCACTAACTGAACCCAGCCGGTAGCCCTGTCACGGTAGCCACTACCGACCCGGCGGTAGGGCCTACCGTCCGTCCAGTACCAATGTACCGAATGGTCACAGCTACCGACAGAGGAGATATAACCAAACAGCGTGTGACGGTAGCACGGTACCGACCTGGCGGTACCGCCTACCGTCTGATGCAACCAATTCCATGTTCATACCTGTTCCGTTTTTCAGCATCAAACCAACAACAATCTCATAATCAACAAACACCATTATATTCGTAGTAACGTTCTAAACGTTATCAAGCACATCAATCAACGCCTAATTCATGCATACTACCCTTTTTGGTTTAACAACAACATATCCCAAAACCACAATCAACAATTATACAGTAAATCACACAGATCAACCACGATAACAATTATGAACGGAATTTCAAACCTAGATGCATATTCTAGTGTTAGATGTCCACGTACTCACCTCGTTTCATTCAATTTGATTAAAGGGAGAACTTTACTCAAACGGAGTCACCCGTGCCCTACTGCACAGTCCGGTACTGCTGCCCGAGCAAGCCCGCCCAGATCTGTTATCATTGCTGCTCGGTCTCACCTTCTGCTGTCCATGGTAAAAAATCACTGCCCGAACCTAACCTTCATGGCCTGGAAGTCGCCGGAGTTTCTGGGTCACCGCAGTTGTCCGTCGCCGGAGAGAAGTCGTCGATCGCCACTGCGCATCGCCAGAGTTTCTGCCCAGTCGCCTGAATACGCCTGCCCTTCGCGACAACTGCTACGAGTCGCAATCGCGGGTTGAGGTCTACGCCGGAAAGAGCCAATCCCGATTGCTCCCACCGTTGTTCGATTGGGGAAGAAGAAGGGTAGCCACGTGATCGCCAACCCTACCTGACCGTCGTCGCCCGTGATTGCTCGCCGGTGTCGTCGCATGCTGCGATCGAAGAAGGACGGTGACTGGGTTTTGGTTTCGCGGCGCTGAATCGAGGACCAGAATCGAGAATAAGGTTGCGTAGGAGTATTTGTAAACCTAGGTTTTGTGCTCCCTAATTTACAATAACGTGTCTGAGTAAAACACACTTTTTGGGCTAATTTGCTCTGAATTGAGATCCGTTCACATCGTTGGATTCGATTCATCGATCCCTACCCAATGATATAACTTTTATATTCAATTGACAAACATTTATACGTTCCACTAGATCCGTCTTAATTCTTTTGATTAATTAGTCCCAATCGATCCTTTAATTTAAATCTTTACAAATATAATCAGATTAGTTTCGTTATATTGAGACGATTATAATCTCTAAAGTATCTTTTAATTCTTTAAAAGAATAGATCATCGTAAATAAATAATTCTTATTTGTTTAATTAGCGAATAACTTCTAGACCGGTTTTCTGGGCGTTACAGTCTTTCACTGCATACACACATGCATGATTTTGTTTGTGGGTTATTTCCTGCTGGTGCAAGTCGGGCTGAGGTAGACTGATTTTGAACAGGGCCATCGGCATTGGTTTTCCAAGGGTTTGTAGGACATTCCTTTCGAAAATGCCCAGATTTACCACAACCTATACATAATCCTTGTGTCATCCAACATTCTCCTGGGTGATGTCTTCTACAAGTGTTACACTTTGGATGTTTCCACACTCTTAATTTGTTTTGAGTTGACAAAGGTTTTCTTCTTTTCGAGGGTGGGGCACTACAAGTTCCAGTCAAAGGCTTCTTTCCCTTAATATCGGGTTTGATACTTGAATAAGCATTGCAGTGACCTTCAATATCTTGGTGGATATTGTGATTGTCTGGTTTTTTTTGGACAACAAGAGTGAAATTCGATATTTCAATATGAACCGTTGTGTGTCCATTGTTTTGCACTTGGTTATCTTGTCCGCGCGCAGTTTCTTGACTCATTCTACAAATAGTAGGAATTTCCTTATTAGGATTCCTTATTTGCGTAGGTGCGTTGATAACAGATATCACGAGGGTATATAATAGTTGCGACGATTGAAAAAAATCAAGAGAGATTGGAAGAAACGATAAGGTTTATTAATTCTAAACGTTTTCGTTTGCGTCAACGATTGGTTCACGTTGAGGCCACATGAGGATCTTTGACACCGGCTTCACAAATGTTGTTCAACATATATCAACACGAATCGTTCTTCAGGTTCATCTCACTTCTGTGCGACTTTTCCGGTACAGATCAACTTCGTCATTCACGATGCGATGCGTACGTTGATAATGTATCAGAGGTTTGTACATTTTTTTATTCTTTCGTTTCTTCACTGAATACGAAAATTCGACTCAAGTCTATGCTCGATATAATTTCAGTACTAACAATTGTTATCAAATGAGAATTTAACACAGTCAATATTCATCTAGTAAATTCTCATTACCTTTCCTTGAGCAGAGGGATGCGAGAGTCGTGGATGTGATTGACATTTTATTTTAATATCAAAATTCGATCCGAAGATCGGTTTTAAAACCATTTTCTCCGATACCAAAATGTAACACATCTATGTGGCTACATTTTGGTCCTATCAAAGCACTCAATTGCTTGAGCCCTTACGTGGGGAGTCACGCTTCGCCACTGTTCACGCGCGAGGGTTCCCAACGATCATGAGTTGGCTGTATGTATCTCCCCAAGCTGTGTGTCCCATACCACACAGATTAGAAAGATATCTACCTCCACCCGCTACATGTATCTTACCAAGCTGTATGTCCAATACCACACAGATTAGAAAGATATCTGTCTCCGGCCTCACTTTGCTCCGATACCAAAATGTAACACCCTAATCCGTCCAGGTCTGCAGCCCCTTTTGGACTAAAGTATTAACTTGGTAATTGTCAAAATTTAAAACATTTCACACACTTTTATTTATCATAATAATATTTTTTCATAATATAAATAGTGCAGAGTTTTCAATATTGCGGAAGCATAACAAATCACATCATAAACATAAATTATTTATGTTCTTCAGTTCAAAACCATCACATCCATTCCGACAATCTCGCCTCCGTCTACCTCCAGGATCACGTCACTTCATTCTTTCTATTAACCTGCATGTAGCAAATAAAACATACTACACGCTCAGCGTTGAAGCTGAGTAAGCATATCTAATGCATTGAACATCCATATAAACTGAATCTAAATTCATAATCAAATCATTTGATATCATGCACATAATGTTCAGTTCAGATATTCAATAATCATTAGTTAGTATTCATCATTCATCATTCAACATTTATATTCATATTCGACGTTCATCGGTTATTTATAACATTCACAATATTCAATTCAATAATCATCATTCAATACTCATTCATATTCAATGGTCATCTGTCATTCATAATAATCACAATATTCAATTCAATAATCATCATTCAATATTCATTCATATTCAACATTCAACAATATCCTTAGACTATTCTTAGTCTAAGGCCAATCACTTTAATATTTATCAACCCTTAAATTAATTCTATTTTAAATGATTAAACTATATTCCAGTATGAAGTACTTCTGAATAATCCTTAAGCTAGGCCTAGTTTAAGATAAAAGGGTTTTGAAAATCTTAAACTTACCTTCACTTAAGGCCAACCAGAAACCGACAGCACAGTGTTCACTGTTGGGTGGGTGGTACCCCCAAACGAGTAGGTACTCAAGTTTGGTTCTTGGATCCCGTACGTACGTTTTAACCCTAGCCACCGGGGTTCATACCCGCAAGGCCTAACTTAAATAGGTATATCTTAGAGCTCTTCTAGATACCTTTCAAATCAACATTAATATGAGTATATCTTAGAGGTATTTTAGATACCCTTAACAATATATTATTTTCACAATCATCAATATAGTCATTAGGATTTAATCATTCACAATTATCATTTTTAATTAGAATATTTATTAAGATTTAATCATCATAATCATCAATCAATAATCCTTACCATAATCATCAATCAACATAATATTCAATAACAATTAGCGGCCTAGCTCTGGGTGTTAACACCCTAACTTACTGTCATGCATCACATAACATTTTATTTGTTAAAAATATTACTTTTAATGTGAAAAATCATTTTTATAATGATCATAATCAATTGGTATAAAAAATAGGATTTTAGAGCTCAAAAATAACATTTTCACACAAATTTTCGGATCAGAAATTCGGGGGATCGATCCAGCCCTCTGGATCGATCCATACTATGGAAAATTACTCCCAGGGGATCGATCCACACAGTGTCTTTTAGCCATTGTTCATCGTCTTCTACCTCGCGACTCCAATTTCGGAAATTCCATTTTTAGGTTCCAAACTTCAATTAAACTATATACAAATGTTCTCCAAGGTTCATAGATTATTTCGGCATCATTAATTCATAGTTTTAACATCAATTTCATGGTTTATGATTCTTTGTTCGTCAAGCATGTCAAACACAAAACTCAACCAAACGACCGTTTATTTATGTAGAAACGGTCTATACGAACATTCTAGTCATTAGATATATCTACGGGCTTACCTCGAAGCTTAATGGAGGTTTTATAAAATTTCCGGAAAAACTTCCGGCGAGGATTGTAGCTTGCTCCGGCGACTTCACACCAAATTGACAGCACAACTTCGTTCTCCACACTCACAGCTTTCTCTCAGAGTTTATTTGAAGGAAAATGGTGAAGAAATGGGGGAGAATTGTTCCTCCTATATAGGAGAGTTTGGAGGAAAAAGATGAAATTCACTGCGTCACCATCCCTGTTAGAGCGGCTAGTGGAGTGGGCTGCGATATCCACGATTCCAAACGCAAGTCCCTGATTGGGACTAATTTTGGTCATAGTCGGGGTACACTTTTTGGTCCAACTTTCTCCGAATTGAAATCCGTTTGCACCGTTTGCGATTGTACAATTAAACTCTATCCAACGATATAATTTTTATATTTATTCGTTCTACTTTTTCCGACATCATAATTTTAGGTGGTTGACTTTGACAGAGTAAAAATTGATTTTGTTGACCTTTACTCAGAAAGGTTTTTACATTTCATTCATATTATTTATTCTTATGATTTATTTCAATCAATCATTTCAAAGTTCATATCATAAACAAATTTCTTCATTTATCCTTGATTTGGGTCTGTACTCAGGTTCCCAAGTAAGGTCACACAATAAGTCAACATATTGGATTTATCTCTATGAGACTTATCCAGATTTTGACATTGAATATTAAAACATATTTCATTTCGGCCCAAAGCCCAATAACAATTATTATTATTATTATTATTAATCAAAACAATTTGATTACTTGAATAATTATTCATTAATAATTCTAGGGTATATTTTGGGGCGTTACATTGACAATCTTCCTAAACAGCAAGAAGGAAACTCAAGGGAAGCTCACAAACTGCATGAAGCTGATTCAGAATCAAGCAAGTCAGACCATCCAGAAGATCAGATCTGACAAAGGCACAGAATTCCTGAATGAAATCATCATTCATTACTCTGAAGAAAATGGAATTCTTCATCAGACATCCGCAGCAAGAACACCACAGCAGAATGGTGTAGCTGAAAGAAGGAACAGAACCTTGAAGGACGCAGTAAGAACCATGCTGGCAGAAGCTTTCTTACCAAAGAGGTTCTGGGCTGAAGCTGTAAACACAGCTTGCTATACTCAAAATAGGAGTATGATATATAAAAGGCACAACAAAACTCCCTATGAACTATGGAATGGGAGAAAGCCTAATATATCGTATTTCCATATTTTTGGGAGCAAAGGCTTTGTGTTAAACAATGGGAAGAATCATCTGAACACTTTTGATGAGAAATCAGATGAAGCCATCTTCCTTGGATACTCTCTTGTGAGCAAGGCGTTCAGAGTCTTTAACAAAAGAACCATGATCACTGAAGAGTCAATACATGTTATTTTTGATGAAAAACATGTAGTTGACAAACCATCAAAGCATGATCATGAGGTTCTGGATCTCTCAGACAAAGATGAAGAGTCAATGAAGGAGACAGAATGAAGCCTACGGAGTTCATTCCATTCAGAAGTCAACCATTGAAGACTTCACGGAGAAATATGGATTCAGCTAGCGCTGAGCCTACCGGAAATCATGGCCAGCCTTCCAAAATCCCGGATCACTAACATGGCAACAGTTCTAGAACTGGTGATCAAGTGCCAATCCATCCGGAAACACCAACAAACTCCATTCTCCAACCAGAAGCTGAAGTAGATCAGCCAGTCAACCCTAATCAACATAATCTTCGTTGGTTAAGGGGTCATCCTCCTCAACAAATCATTGGAGACATTCAATCAGGCGTTCGCACAAGAAGCGCTCAACAGAATCTAGAAGCCATGCTTGCTTGTTTCATTTCGCAAGTAGAACCAAAGAGCATTGAAGAAGCTCTAGCTGATTCTGATTGGATCAATGCAATGCAAGAAGAACTCAACCAATTCACCAAAAATGACGTCTGGAAACTTGTTCCAAGACCTACTCATCAACATGTCATTGGGACAAAGTGGGTCTTCCAGAACAAGATGGATGAAAACGGCATTGTTGTCAGAAACAAAGACCGATTAGTTGCCAAAGGATATTGTCAAGAAGAAGGTATAGATTTTGATGAAACCTTCGCTCCAATTGCTAGACTTGAAGCTATAAGGTTGTTTCTAGCCTTTGCTGCTCATAAGGACTTCAAAGTCTATCAAATGGATGTCAAAAGCGCATTTCTCAATGGAAACCTAGAGGAAGAAGTTTATGTGGAACAACCTCCAGGATTTGAGTTACACACTAAAGGCGATCAAGTGTATAGACTCAAAAAGGCGTTGTATGGACTCAAACAAGCACCAAGAGCTTGGTATGATACATTGTCTCAATTCCTAATAGACAATGGATTCATCAAGGGAGTCATTGACAAGACCTTATTCAAACTTCAAGATGGAGAAGATCTCCTATTGGTTCAAATCTATGTGGACGACATCATATTTGGCTCAACTAATGAAGATCTTTGCACCAATTTCTCCACTCTCATGCAAGGAAAATTTGAGATGAGCATGATGGGGGAACTCAACTACTTCCTTAGTCTTCAAATCAAGCAGAGAAGTGAAGGGACTCTCATCAACCAAGCCAAGTACACAAGGGATCTTATCAAGAAATTCAAAGTTGATCAGAAGTCATCCGTTTCTGTTCCCATGAGTACATCCACCAAGCTTGATATGGATGTAGATGGAAAGGATGTGGATCAAACTCTCTACAGATGAATAGTTGGATCTCTACTCTACCTTACTGCAAGCCGTCCGGATATCTCACATGCAGTAGGAGTTTATGCTAGATTTCAATCAAAGCCAAAGGAAAGCCATCTAATAGAAGCCAAAAGGATTCTTAGATACCTTAAAGAAAGTCATAACATGGGTTTATGGTATGCTAATAGCAGCTCATTTGAGTTAGTGGGATACTCAAATTCCGACTTTGCCGGATGCAAAGTTGACCGGAAAAGTACGTCTAGTACTTGTCAATTCATTGGCGGAAATCTTGTTTCTTGGTTCAGCAAGAAACAAAACTCCATCTCTGATCTACATCTACAGTAGAAGAAGAGTACATTGCTGCTGGTAGTTGTTGTGCTCAGATCTTGTGGTTAAAGCAACAACTACTAGATTATGGAGTCAAAACAAAGGAGGTGACTATATTCTGTGACAATCAAAGTGCTATAGCCATTTCACAAAATCCAGTACATCATTCTCGCACTAAGCACATCGATGTCAAGCATCACTTCATCAGAGATCATGTGGAAAAGAAGGATATCAGAATTGAGTACATCTCAACCGAAGAACAATTGGCGGATATCTTCACAAAACCACTAAGTGAAGCCAGGTTTTCCGGATTGCTTCATAAAATTGGTCTAATTCAATTAGACTGAGTGCGGTACATGTGGCAGCCCACTTACCACGTCTGATAAAGTAATGGGTAGGCACGTGGCCTTGGGAACAGTTGAAAACCCAATCGCCACCAGCTACAAAAATCGCCCAAAATTAAACCCAATCGCCAGCATATTCAGATCTCAACTACCCACACAGCCCACTCAAATCTTTGTCGTCTTCCTCGCGTGAAATCTCAGAAGAACCCTGATTTCTTCAAATTCTTACTCTCAAAATTCCTGCAAAAATGAAGGTTGGAGGCGCAAATATTCACTTTAAGAAATTGGAAGCCAAATGCTCCTCGCCAGCATTCTACGAAGCATATTTGGAAATGATTGAAGCACAAGAACTCTCTGAATTTCTTCATATGGAAATTCGCTTCAAGTATGAAGAAGAAGTTCTTGAATTCTATAGGAACGAAAGAGTCAAAACCATTCAATCCAAGAAGAATCCACAGAGATCAATTCAAGCCATTAAATCAACTGTTGGAGGCACCGCAATAAAGATCTCACAGAAGAAGATGAAGAAGAACCCCATCTTCCCAACTCTAGAATTGACATTGGGAAGCTCTCGTCCAAAAATCTGGACTGGAACACAATTGAGATTTCTTGACAAATCCCCTCTGGCCCGACAAAGAAGGCCGATTTGAAGAATGACTATAAATTAGTCTTGGAACTGGTCATTTCATGTCTAGAATGTGGAAGTAGAGGACATGCCGATGACATAACCCAGGAAAGGGCTTTCATCATCAACGCCCTCATTACTAGGACCAAGGTAAATTGGGCTAAACACTTCTTCAATTCAGTTTCTAAGCACATCGGGAAGCCCAAGCATAAGTTTCTCTGTCAAGGACTGTACCTTGGACATATTCTTGAGTCCATGGGCATTGCCTCTGAAGGCAAGAAGTATGATGCCAGATACTAGTTGTACTATCTATCATCCAAGGGTGAAAACAGAGAGAGTTCTGACGCCGAAGATGAAGGTTCTTCAGACAATGTTCTGATTGTGAGTCTGAAGAAGTCTTCAAAAAGAAAGCAAGTGGTATCTTCCTCCCCTAGTGCTTGGGAACCACATACTCTGACAGTAGTCAATCTGGATGAAGAAGAAGAAGTTTCTGCTCAAGGAGAACTTCGGAAGAAGAAGAAGAGGAGAATTTCCTCTCCCTCCACATTTGGAAATGCCAACCCGGAGAACTCAGTGCAGAACCAACCACAAGAAAGTCCTCAAGATCTTAATGAGAAAATCTATCAAGACCACAATCTTCTATCTCCTCCATCACAAGCTCTTGCTGATAAAGTAGACAAATTCATGCAGCTCTACTATGTTTGGAGAGCTTGGAAGGTTGGAAACTCTACAGATCAGTTGCTTGAATGGGATCAACAACTGAAAAATGAGAAGATCATCAAGAGGTGTCTAGGACTGCCAATTAACTGCCATTGCAAGCAGATTTTGGATGAGCAATGGGTCTGGCAGAAAATAAATGAAGACGTGCTGTTGGAACACTTGTCCACCTCTCCAGCCTCAGAATTTGAGGTAGATGATGACTATGTAGCAGTCTACACACCCATGTTCGTGAATTCAGCTAGCAATCAGACTGCAGACCAGGCTGAAAACATCACTGCTGAAGCACAGGCAGACTTGGAGGCTGAAGCAGAGGATTTCCAAGTTTTTCCGGAATCCTCCACTGCCATTGAAACTGTTCCTGCTGAAACCATCCTGGAGCATGTAGCCACTTCGCAGCAACAAGAACAGAATTATACTACATCTGAAGAAGAACTTATACAATCCCTCCAATTTCAGGTCCATGATATCATCACAACCACTTGTGAGATCTCCAACCAGACTGAACCTTAAATTCCGGAGAAGTCATCAGAAAATCTGGAGAAATTCACTCCTCCAGAAACAACAGCAGAGGAAGCTAATGAGGAACCAGCTGTAGAAGCACAGAGAAGCCTTGAAGAAGTCGCTGAAAGTGCTCAAATAGCTAGACTGGAGGTCATTGGAACTCTAGTTGCTATTTTTGAGCAACAAACATAAGATGTAGTAAGAGATTCACTCTCCCAAGAAATCTCAAACTACAAGGAAGCAGAGACTGAGGACGAGTCAGTGAAGATTTTGTAAGTTCATGAAGAAGATGCTGAAGAAGGAGAAGAAGCTGAATCCCTCCCTCTGCAACTCTATCAAAGAGTACCTTCTTCTAATCAGGTAACGAACTTTCACTTTCACAGCTCTTCCACATCCACCTTTCCAGATGAGATGCCGGAATCCTGGACCAGGAAGGTCCAAGGGCTGATTGAGTCAGCCCTGGAGTCACAGAAAGCCACATTCAGGCAAGACCTAGAGAAGGTAGAAATGAGACACAGTCAAATTCTAGAGAAGACTGAAGAAAAATATAGCTCAAACCTCAAGGAAATAAGCCAATCTGTGGACAAAACTCTAGAGATCATTTCTCTATTGAGTAATTCTGTGAGCAATACAATGATAGCCTATGCCTCTGACTGCCAACTTCAACTCAAAGAAGCTATGGTGATCAAGCAACAGATTGCCATCGTCACAACCACTCTTCAGAAGCAAATGTCATTTCTCCAGATGGACATCAGGTCAGCCCTAGCAGTGTCATCAGCAAATCAAGTGATCACCCAAGATTACCTGAAGGTTCTTGCTGATAATCAGAAGGAAGCATTCAAGCTTTTCAAGCACTTTGGAACCTTCACTGCCAAACACAAGCTGGAGGTGATTGTCCAACACAAAAGTTTACCTCCAATTCCAAGACTTCCGATTCAAGCAAAAGAAGGAGAGCTCGGGTACATTCCAACTCATTTGAACATGACTGAACTAATATTGGAGGCCCAGCAGAGCAACCCCGAAAACTCGGTTCAACATCTATCAAACAATGAGTTTGATGGAACAGAAGGCTTAGGAACCATTGCCTCACTCTTCACAAATGAGGCTCAGCAAAAGGAAAGATATAACAATCTGAAGCGCATCAAGGAAGAATGTGGAGTCATGCAAGGCATTGGTGAGGCTGTCGGATCATCCAAGCGCAAAAGGAGTTGAAGGCTCTTTTCATCAAAACAGGGGGAAGTCTTGATACATTATTTATGTTTTGATGAAATCACCTTCTTGTTTAAACATTAGCTTTTGTTCAAACATTTTTGATACATCTCTTAGTTATGCTTGAACATATTTCCTTTAAGTATAATTTTTGAGATTTATTAATAAGTGCATACATTTAGGGGGAATGTAATTCAGGGGGGAACTTAACTGTTTTTGGCTAATTATTGTTTTTGGTAACGAACTACTGATGAACTCTAAGCAATGGAAGACGGATATCTCAAGTCTTGTACTAGAGTTGGAGATCTCCGATTCAGGTACTCTACAAAATCTGCCTTCTTAAATTGAGTTTCAATCCTTAGTTCATTTCCACTTCTGCTCTAAAAGTATTGGTCCTTAGGATTCTTGTAATGTACAGGACTTTAGAAAATTAGTACCACTTTTCTTTTAAAAACGAAATTTATATTTTTGGTACTACCTCGTCCTAATTAGAAAGTAGAACTTTAGGGAATGAAAAATGATAGTCTTTATTTTGGGCCTTGAGAACCCAATAGGAATAATTTCCCTTTAGTACATAGATTTCTTTTTGGGCCATTCTTTTGGGCTTAGCCAAACCAAAACAGCTACGTTTCTCAAAGCAAATGAAACTGGTCTCATTTGAAACAGTTTCAACACTTTGGTAACCGGTAAAAGATTCCTTCAACTTTTCAAAATTCAACTTCTTGGAAGTTGAAACTCTTTTACTCTCACCGTTCCAACCACCCACTAAATGGAACCCCTGAACCTCCAATTCATATCTCCTCCTCCTATTTAAACCAAGTCAATCCATATCCATTCCTATCACAAACAAATTTTCACACTATGAAAAGTCTTCAAACTCAATGCCTGAGAAAAACACCTAGAAAACTCTCTTCAATGGAGAAGTCTTTCTTCCTCACCTTCATAGACGGCAATGGAGAAAGCCTGGTGGGAAGAAAAGATGTTCAAGGTCTTTGGTGGGAATCTCGGCAGTAGAGAAAGTATATGGTGAGAATTTCGCATTCTTGCATCTCGCTACACATCTTCTCTAGATCAACACTCTCCTTTTTCTTTTCAAAATCTTTTTCTTTTTCTATTTTTTGCTCTTCAAAACTTTCTTTTCTTTTTCTCTTGGCCTACTTTCATCTCTCCCCTTTTATTCATTTTTTAAAAAAAATTGATTTCAGGTCTCGGCTTCTCCTCCCTCTCCCCCTTTTCCTACTTCTCCTCCCCCTCTTTTTAAAACAGTTGTGATGCAAGTCTCTCTCTCTTCCCCGACTTGTCTAAATTTTTTCTTCTATTTTCTAAACTTTTTCTTCCCGAGTCACCATTTTTTTCTTTTTCCATAATTCTCCTTTAAACTCTTTTTCAAAACCCTTCTTTTATCTTCCTTTCAAAATTATTTTTTTCAAACTTTTTCTTGTCTTTCTGTCTTTTTCTTGCCTTTCACCAGCTCCTCCTCTCCTCCCTTTCTAAAAACAATCTCTTTTGTTTTTGTTTTTGCTCTTATTTTCTTTATTTTTGGAGAGATGTTGGTTCCAAGATCTCAATGTCCAATTTGGATGTTGAGATCCATCAAACACAATGTCATATGAATCTTCAAGCAAAATCCGTTGAAGATAGAAGCAGCAAATGGCAGAAATATCACAAATCTCAAGACAAGACTTGGTTTAGGAACTGTTGTAATTTGAATTGTATTCTATTTAAGAGTTTTTGTTAACAAGCTGTATATTATGAGAAACTAAAAGAAAGTTATAAAATTAGTTCTCAGTATAGCGACCGGAACTCTTAAACACTTGTTTGTCATCATCAAAAGGGGGGGAAACTCTTGGGAAAAATTATAGATTTTAATGATGATGTATGTAGATTGTAATAGGGACTTTAGGTCACCCCCAATACTCAATGTAATTTTTATTTTTAGAAATATTGTTAAAACTGAGTTCTTGAGATTTCCAATAAAACGTATGATATTTCACTGTGTGGTTTGATGTCAATCTTTGAAGACTTAATCAAATTTAGTGATATGGAAATTGGAAATCTTGACCGGAAATGTCAGAGACAAGTAAGGAATTCTCAAAGCAGTTGGTTACTTTGAAGATTTTCTAATCCGGAACACTCCATTATAACCGGATGTCTCGCTACATCCCGCTGAAGGCTGTCATCCGGATCGGAAGACTAGCGCGGATTTCTATCTCACCTGGAAGTCTAAGAATGACATATCCGGAATTGTCAGCAAAGAGCCGGATGTCTCAAGGAAGACTGGAACTCTCAGAAATAGACTAGTGAGAAAAGACTTAGAAAAATTATCTAAGTCATGAATGAAGAAATTCTACCCGTTGGTAAGGAAAAATCAATTTCTTGATTTTCAATAGCTAGATTGGGGATATTTAAGCTGATTCAAGAACAAATGACTTGAAGACAAAGTCTGGACTTCTCAAATTGAAGAGCTCGCTTAGAATTCCTAAACAAGCACAAGAAGACAAAATGAGCACTCCACTCAATATAGAGCTACAGTCCAGAATTCTTGAACAACAACTAAAAGACGGATTCTGTGAAAAAGGAATCCTTTCTCAAACAATTGGGTATGTCCAAACACCCATTCCAATGAAGAATCCTCAATCTCACTCTTCGTTCAAAATTGAAGCCAGCAAATGCAACGTATAGTCTATTCCCTTCAACAGATAGATTATCCATCCAGCTATATATAGCTTCCATGGAAGACTGGAGAGAGAAAAAAGGACAACAACAAGCAAAAAGAAGACGAACAACACAATCAATTTTCACAGTTAGCCAAAAAGCTTGATAAAGAGAGATTTCTAAACTCCTAATCCAGAAGCAAACTTCTCCTCCTTCCAAAGAGCTATAGTGTAAACACTTGAAGGTTTCCTTGCCTCAAGTACCACACCACGTTGAAGGATACAACTTTTAATCAAACTTCTTGATTAAAACGGGGCACATCAACTCTTCTTAAAGTTGATCTTGCAAGTCTTATTGTTCGGATCTTGTAGTTGTTGAAGAAGCATGAGCTTCGAAGGAATAACAAAGCCAGCACGAGTGCAGTAGCAACATTGGCCTTGCAAAGATATACCATGCAGAAATTCACACAAGTGTAATTGTTGGTTCATTATTCAACGACCAACTACATAGTTGATTTTGAGGACGCAGAAGGATTACCCCACCATCGAACCTCGTTAATGTTTGCGTGTCTCTCTCTTTTATCTCTACTTATACTTGCACTTACATTAACTGTGAAACTAACCCATCCATATTGATTACTGCTCCAATAACCCACCAACTTCCGCACTCAATCTAAGTTCACAAGAACATTAGATTAGCATTCATTTTCACGTTTTCAAAAGAAAAAAAAGGTTTTAAATTTGTAACAAAGTCTATTCACCCCCCCCCTCTAGACTTTGTATCTCACCACTTTGGGACCACCAACTCTCTATAAGAGTAGATGTTGAGTAAAATATACGCTCAAGAACAACTCAAACTTCACACAAATTGGCTCTAGAAAGCTATGGAAAACGATGTTTTTTGAATGCAATGATAATATGAATAATGTGAAGTGAATTCCTTGGTAAAGCAGACCCAAACACCCCTTCTCATAGTGCCAAAATAGGCTCCAACGGATCAAGGCATTAAAGGGGTGATTAGCATGATTTGTGGGATTGATATTAAAACATGGATCTGCAGGAGATTGGCTTTCCCAGCGATGTATGGAGCTACCCATCGCTGGTAAGCCAATTTTCCTTCAGTTTCGAAGGCAACGGTCACCTACCCATCGATGGGTAAACACTTCCCATCGCTGGGTGGGAGGTTGACTTTCAAACAAGGAAATAATCAGCCTTAACTGCCTTACAACGGTCATGCCTTCCCATGGATGGGTAATATCCTCCCATCGCTGGGAAGTCACTTACCCATGGATGGGTAATATCTCCCATCGCTCGGTGGCATAGTTCTGGAATCCGGGATCACTTACCCATGGATGGGTAATATCTCCCATCGCTGGGTGGCATGGTTCTAGAATTCCGGGATCACTTACCCATGGATGGGTGATATCTACCATCGCTGGGTAGATGGCTAGTCCAAAACCATGGCCTAGCCGACCGACGCTGAAACCCGACTAAAAAATGCAAAGTTCTCCAAAGTAAAAACTAAGTGTTTAAAACACTTATTTAATGTATTTTATGTAGAAACCAAGTATAAAAACTTAAAAACCACTTCATTAAGGTAAAAACCACGGCTAGCCAAGTTTATGTCATTTCGCATGGTTTTTGCCAAACGACCAAAAACGAGAGGTGGTTTTTGAAGTGTTTTTGTTGGAGAACTATTTAAAAGTGCCCAGAAGTAAAAACCAATCATAAAATTTTAAAAACCAATTGGTTGGTTCGGACGCCAAAAACCAACGCCGACAACCGAATGCCAAACGCCGGTTTCTGAGAATCGAATGCCGGTTTCTGAAAGCCAAATGTCGGATGGCTTGGTTTTTGGTTTGGGCGAACACCAAGTGTTTTTAATGTGTTAAACATGTTTGAAAAACATTTTTATGATATGTGAAATGCAATAAAAACGTTTTAGCCTAAAGAGCCAAGGTGTGAGGTTTGGGTCGGTCTTGATCACATTTGTGACCGACTCAATGACACTAAAACTACGGTCTTCGTTCTTGGTCTTCTTTTAGCTCTTGTTCTTATCTTGATTTCTAGCCTTGTATATTCAACACTTTGTCTTGATCACGGCGGTTTGGCATTATCAAAACCTGTCATAAAAACGAACACGGATTTAGTATGATAAAGTAGTAAACCGAGACTTAGCTTTCAAAATAAGTCTTCGGGATCATAATCCAAGCATGCTCACTTAAATCCAAGGTAGTATACCAATCATAACATCATATCATCATTCTAGACGCATGTCGTAGGATCATGGCATTCCATTGGATACCGCGTCAAGAGGTCAGGCCTAATGCACCTCTTCCGCGGGCCCATCCAGGAACCTACGGGATCCAACAGATTTTTCATCACGAGGGCTTGTGTACGTACATGGTAGCTAGGCTTCAGCTATCACCCACATTTCTAGTCTCCATCGGGAAGACTAAGGCGTTCCTCAGCTTATCTACCGCGTGGGGATGATCACCGAAGGGCAGGGGGTCCCTGCGCAGTCTAACTCATGCATCATGATTATTTGGCATTGCATCATTATTTAATTGTGAACTCTTATTCATCAAACTTGTATGTGGTATCTCGTACTTTAGTACAGGTACAATTATGTTTATATCAATGTGAATGTACTATGCATTCTA